TTCTTTGTTAGCAACCAGTTTATGTCGTATGACCACATGTCCAATCTAAACATAATTCTTCTCAGTCACACAGTGTTTTTGTATCCCTGAGCACACAGCATTTACTATCACAAGCCTGTTCCTTTGACTTGTCAGAGACTCTGGCAGTCTTGAGGACTTGTCTTCCCTTGGGCCATGAACCATGACAGCCACTAGCACATGTCAGAAGGGCTCACAAGTCCCTGCCTGCTTTCGCTTCTTTGAGAATCACCAGCCCTCTCAGCCACAGTCTCCTGAAATAAACACCTCTGCCGCTTGCAGCTTCTCCCAGCGCAGCAGCACTCTTGCTCCGTGGTTTCAGAAAATCTGATCATGTTACTGTCGTCCCGCGTTCCTTACATTGCTCAGCTAGCGTGCGGTGGATTGATTTCAAGTTGGCACTCTTGTACTTAAAAGGGACACTATCAACAAATCACAGCCCTGTCTCTTTTTTTTTAACCCATTGCTGTCACAGTGTGCAATTAGATTAATAAAATAAATAACAGATCAGTACATGTAGGAACTAAGAAGAATTGCACCCGCTGCCTGTTACGAGTGATGTCTCTTCCTCCAAGCAGGATGCCAGGACAAGCAAAGACACAATAAATTATTTTCTAGGAGGAAATTAAGAAATTTTGCATGCTATTAATGTGAGCACATTCCCATGTACAGCAAGCAGCTTCACAAAGGGGAAGATTAATACTTTCACAAAACAGGGAAATGAGACTGCCAAATGCCACAAACTGTCTGGGGACTTTGGGTCTACGGCAGGACCTGAAACTAGGTTGCTGAGTTTTGCTTTTTTTCTTTTAAAGTCGACAGCTTCAGTTGACAGCATCTACATTCAGCCCTGACCAGTGGGGAAACCTGATTTTTCTTACTTCTAGGCCACTGTCTTGATGGGTGTTTTGATTTGTTACTGTTTTTGTAAACATACCACTGATGTTTATTATCCTTCCCATCCCCAGTAACTTTTACCTTCTTTTCTTTTTCAATTAGTGCTATTCATGTGCATTTCTGGTAAGTTCAAAAATAATTGTTAGCATTTCAGAAATGCCTTCAGATTTTAAATGAGGACTCTAAATACTGCATTCTGTAAAGACCTTAAGTAAGAAATTATTTCTGTCCCACAGAGTATTGTAAAGGCATTTAAGGAGCTTACTTCCCACCTCATGCCTGTTGCAAGCCCAGACAAAGGACAATAAAAATGTGAAACAGAGGAGAAGGAATGAAATAACCAAAGAAAGGCACATCTGGCTGGGCAGATGAGGTGTTTGTGCAGGTAGCCAGCATGGAGTTGGGGATATTTTTACTTATCAAGACTGTTAAGAGTTACACACTGGTTTTTACACAATATAACAAGCATAAACTACACTACACTGTTACAAATACAACCACCAGTACAGATACGGGGTCAGAGTAGCCCAATTTCAGTAGTACGCAATTTGCTTCTGTAAAGTCTTCACCAGTTACTTGCATAACTCTAGCCTAAAAATCTTTTCATTAAAACAACATACTCTTTCTTTAATTCTAGAGCTTACACTCATATACAAGTTTCTCCCAACTTCGCCAAAACACAGCCTTAAGTAAATACTGTTTTGACTTTGAGTACACTAGGCACACTGCAGAAATTACTGACAGTATCCTTTTTCAGAGGAAAGGTTGACAGAATCCTGTAGTGTCAGTTAATTCAGGAAAAATGTTACCCCACAAAAATTTATTTTCTTAGACTATGAGCAACTACCGAAATTTCAGGATAAGTTACAAATTTACCATTAAGCTGGACTCTTTGAATTCTACTGCAAACTCTCCAATGACCCAAACAGAGAAGTCTCTGACGTGTTTAGCTGACCCCGAGGTGGGGGCTCAAACACAGAGTACAATTCAACAAGGGCAGCATCCATTTGAAACAAAGAGGGCAGGCACAATTGCTTTGGTGGTTGATAGTCTCTCTATCCCCCCTCTTTCCATTTTCAGGTATGAACCAGTCCTCTTGCTGTTGGACACAACATACTAGAAGGTAGCTTTGGTGTATCACAGGCCAAAGAATAATCGGATGGCTTCCAAAATAAAATGAAGAGTGAGAACATGGTAATCCAGACAGGGCTCTGTCTGTGTGGATGTTCACACCCAGAAAGACTAACGTTGGTGCTCAGCCTCAGGCTAGATGTATAGGGAAAATTAAACCTTAAATGTTAAAAAACTGTTTCTCCATCAGTTTAGGCCTTTGATATCCTGTCATATCCAGTTGTATAACAGGATTATACAGTGATCTTGAGAGGTGTTTCAGTGATTACTCACCATCCTTTAACAGCCAATCTTTGCAGGCTTTTTCTATCAGAATCATAATGAAATTCCCAGCTCAAAGTTGGCAAGAATACTAAAACCATACTGAAAGAAATAAAATCAAATAGCTGTTTTAAGGAATGGATAACAAAAGGTTACAGAGCTGACAAGTCTGAAAATATTATCTAAATATTGTAATGCTGCACTTAAACAAAACCAGAAATATGAGAAAAAGATCCCAGTTCAGTTCTGAGCATTTTCTTGGAGTGAGACACAGAATCACATTCAGCAAAGGTGATTCATTTAAAGGTGAGGCCTCTACCTTATTTCTTTCTTTCTTTAAGGCATGACAGATAGGGTTTTCCTCATCACTGCCCTACCCTGAAGACCTGACAGAAGCTTCCGCCTCTGTCATGGCAGACAACAGTAACTTCCTTTCCCTCTGGCCAGACACATCACTCTGGGGTGCCCTGGACCACAGAACATCCCTGGACATTTCCTCGGCTTCAAGCTCCACAGCCTGTCAGCACAATAGCTTATTTACTAAACATCAGCCCTTTTCCTTCTTTTTCTCCTTTTTTTCTTTGTTAAGCTGCTTCTTCTAAAGGCAAATTTTGATTATTGAGATACTTGATTATTAAGGGAAGGAAAGAAAATCCCCAGTAACCTGCTGTCAGACACAGTCTACAGATCAAACTGGCTTGTGCACAAATCCCAGCGGTTTGTGCTCACGCTGCTTCCAAAGTGTTTATGCGAGACGTGTGTTTTTCCTGTTGCACTACCCTGATTGTTTGGCTGGGCTGGGTGATGGATGGTGGAGAAGGTTATGTCTGGAAATGTGCTGCAAAGTCGACAGGAAGCTGAGGGGGCCTTTGCCAGCACTTCCTTCCTGTATACAAGGGGAGGACAGAATGGGAAAAACCTTGGCTGTCTCTCACCCTGAGAAAAGTGCTACCTTTCCAGCTGGATTACAGTAAAAATATTTTAATCTTTCACAAGATTATAATATCCTTCCTCTCTAAGTATAGCTACAGTGGTAGCAAGGCTTAGATAATGAAACGAACTGACAATGTAAAACTTAATAGGTGGCTGCAGAAGGCTGGTGCTGGAAGCAGAACAAATGGAGGTCCAGATGTGAAGATCCCTATCTTCAGCCAAGACATAAACCACGAGTGGGTCACACCTGTCTAATCCAGTATCTTGACTCCAAGAGCAACCAGTACTAAGCACTGCAACAGAAGGTGTAAAATCCACACAAGCAGTACACTGGAAAAGTGTCCCTCTGCACAGCTTCATTCCTCTGCCCGTTATAGAGAGTGGATCTAAACTCAAAGCATAATGTTTATTACCCCTTCCAAAAATAATGCTGCAATGAGCAATGTATGACTATTCTGACCATGTGATACACACATTTCTCACAAGCACCCAGGATAGTCTGTGCTATAGAGACTGTCCTTGAACATCTTTTTCCCAAGAGTCAGCCTCTAGGTGCTTTTGTGGCAGATTTGTAAATCTGCATGACATTCTTACTTTAATTACCACCTGTTCACAGAAATAAAAACACATGCAGAGTATTACAGAATAGATATTCCATGCTACCACAGGAATTTTCCTAAAATTTTCCATTCTTGAACTCCCAGATTCAAACCCATAGACAATGGCAAGACCTTTATTGTAGGCAGGTGTTCAGAACCCCAAACTCATCGACTTGCTTTGTCTGCAGCTACAGGGACTGCAAGAGCATGACAAAAGGGTGCTGGCTATAAGGACAACTTTCCTTGCTACCCCATCGAGGGGATATCCTAGCAATCCCCTCAAACAGATACTATCTGGACAAGTTTGCCCAAGCAAGTCTGAAAAAGGGAGGAATAAATTCTCAGGACTCTTGACAACAAAAGAAAAATTCCCAAACCTGTAAGCGGATAGCTCTCATAACAGCCTCTATTTCTGAAAAAGGAATCAGACAAAAAGACCTCACCCGTTAATAAAGAGTGGGGAACAATGGAAACTGTCAAAAAATAGCCCTCACGTCAGAACTAAGAATGCCCCGTTACACATCCAAAAAAGCACAGAGCTGAGCAAGGACCTGGGAGGATGTCAGGCACTGATTCTGGCTTACGCGTCTCCCAGGCCCTTCTCCATTGCAGAAACTGCCAGAAGCACTAGATGATACTGAATTCCAGTAACCAAAGATGGGGATGGAAGAGGAGAAGACATTTATGACAGGACTGAGCCAGAATTAATTCCTGTCCATACAATCTCTCCAGCAAGGACCCTGAAACTGAAACTTCACGGAACATACATGAAAATGATACGTGTGTGTATCTTCCACAGGTTTTACTTTATAGGGTAAAGCAATGAATGAGAAAACTAAACTATGGATAAATTCTGAATGAGTTGTGTAACACAGTAATAAAAATCATGTGTTCTTCTGAATTGGTGAGAAATTATAAAAACTCTTGCTATAAAAATTTTCAATCTAGAATACAATTCTAAGAACACTGATATCTAGATGCAGACCAGATCAAAAATCCAATAACCTTCACAGCACACAATTTAGCATTAAATTCACAGGTTTTGCTCTATTTGTGACTCAGCATTCTCCTCCAGCAGCACTAAGAAAAATAAATGGAAAGCAAATCATGCTGAACGAACAGGAGAAGACAGACAAACACTTGGACAAGCAGAAAACTCACCAGTGGGCTGATCACTTGAGTCACTGTTCTGATTCATCTTCCCAAAGGCGGCACCAAATCAGGATGCTGAGGTTAGAGGTCTACAGCTCAGAGATGGTAGCCCAAGCTCTTGCTTCCAAAAAGAAAAAAAATGCAGTGTTACTATCAAACTGTAGGAACTTCACCCTGTGTGACAACGGAATTATCTTGTGTGTGGTCTGTTGCCTTCGAATCTAAGCAAGATAGTGGAGCAACTGTGTGCATATATAACTTAGTGTAGAAGTCATAGTACACTGCCTGAAGATCAGAGAACTAAATGGTGAATTGGTGAATTAAGTCAACCAAGAAACACTGAAAAGTGGCAACTGAAATCTCATGAAAGTTGAAACAAAATGTAGTTAAAACAACATCTGGTTTCCTGGAATAAGTCAAGATTAGCTTTCAAATTTCAGGAGTCTTTAACACTGTTTACTTGATTAACCAAACAAAACCCAAGACCTATCTAACCTCCAAACTGGACAGATAGTCCACATGAAGGTATGCTTTTGCCATAGCTAAACAGCTCCTCCTCTTTATTTGCTTGCCCTTCCACTCATCGCATCTTCACTGTGGTTGAGTTGGGAACAGAACCCTTGTCTCCCAAATCCCAACTCAGTGCCTTAACCACCACATCCTTCCTGCTGAATCACATTGCAGAATTGTTTATCAGGAAGGAAATTCCCCCTCGAGAGTACTCACTCTGAGTGTGCTGGTGGAACACAAATGCTTAGAAAAATACCAATGGACTAGCAGTAACAACAAGTGATTTAAGCCACTGTACAACAGGCTAAAGGTATCCACCAGCAGTGTAAGTAAGGCACCACCAAACAGGACATGACAGAGAACAAGCAGTGCATCTGAATGACCTCAGAGTAATAGCTTCCTGCTCTTAACAGAAGATAAATAACTTTGAAAACATCTATCCCACATTTAGCATTAGGTGCATGTCACACACAGGGGGGATTCAAAAGGTTTATATTCTTACCAGGCACTGGGAAGGTCACCTTTGGTACCATCTCACACCAACCTGCTAAGTGCAAGCAGCTGTTGTATGTGATCTAGTGAGTCAGAATTAACCTCAACATGTTGTACTAGCAAAGGGCCTTCACTTTTTTTAAGGTCTTTAGCAACAACAACAACAAGAAGCAGGGGGAAGATACCAAAAGTGGAACAAACATGTTTTAGCCTATACACAGTTTACCACATTAGTCTCCTAGAAAACAAAAAGGGTTGAAATTCATCCATGATCTGTCTGAGGACACAAACCCACTGAAATGGCAAGTTCATGGTCCAGGCCTCTGAAGAATTTGGCTCTGCTCAGCAGTTGGGCAAAGGAGAAGAATTTCCCCACTTACAAGCAATGTCTTTCCAGGTTGCGTCCCACGAGACCCCACCACAGTAACCAACACAAACACACACTTCGGCAGATTCCCAGAACTCTGACAAGATTTCTTTTATACTCCCTTTAAATGCCATTGTATAGAAATTCCAGCAGGACTGACTCTTAAGGGGCAGGGAACCAAACCCTCAATCACAACATCCTGGGGTCACGCTCATATATCTACAGCAGCTTTTAATGGGCACATCAGACAGGGCTAGCTGCCTCGAGAGCAGACCCAAGAGAGAGGTGCTCAGCCTCCAGTGCACCGAGCTCTGGGACAGGTAAGGGCCAGGTCCATCCTGCAGACACAGGCAGGGCCCCACAGGCTCTTCTGGACACCCCAGCCCCATGGGAAGGCAGCCTTCTCCCCAGAGGAACCTGGTTGGAGAGCAGCCATCCACCATGCACCCACATGAACACCTGTAAGCTTCTGTTCCCCCTAGACATCTACTCTGTAGTAGTTAAACTCCAAGACTGATCCCCAGGGATGCCAGAAGCACCTCTCAAAGCAAACACAGGGTGTATGGGTGATGCTCTGGAGACACAAAGGCCCTCCAAGGACACTTTGTGTGGGATCCATCTATCACATGCAGACACCTGCATCTAAGCTGAGCATCTGGGCTCCCCTTCTGATCAGTGGAGATACAGAGTCATCTCTAGGGATCTTACCTGAACAGGGATGACTTGAAGAAAACATCTAGAGTAACCTGTTTCTCTCTGGTGGCTGTCTAGAAAGTCTTGGTGGTCATCTCAAATGAAGGCATTTAAGTATAACCAGCTAAATCCTGCCCTCTATCAGTACTTTACCCCAAAACAAATAAACAAAATCAAATTCACTGCTTTGAAGTTTGGTATTTTGAATCTAGAAACTACTCATTCATTCCGTGTTACTTTAATTGCCTACAGATTTTGTATTTAACTTAATGTATCTATACAGATACATACATGAGTCAGATGGAGCCAGACTCTTCTCAGTGGTGCCCAATAACAGGACAAGAGGCAATAGGAAATCATGTTTAAACATTAGGAAAAAAAGCCCACTTTTTCTTTTTTTTTTTTTTTTTTTTAACGTACAAGTGATCAGACACTGGAACAGGCTATTCAGAGAGGTTGTAAAGTCTCCACACTGACTGGACACAGTCCTGCGCAACCTCCTCTGAGCACAGGGTTGGAGCAGGCAATCTCCAGGGGTCCCCTCCAACCTCAACTGTACTGCAATTCTGTAGCATACTTGAAGACTTTACATTAAAAGACTCCTTACATCTGGGATGTACAAAGTTGAAGACAGCCAAACCTTATCACCTAGGGGTAATGCCTGAGATTTCCAGAGAAACCATCATGCTGTCCCCAGTCTGTTCCACATTCATCCCATCAGGAATCACTGCTTGCTGCCGAATACCTGTCTCAGTTTTGTTCTGCACCACTTTGCATTTTTTTACATCACTGGCATCAGACCCATCCAATAATTTACTAAAGTGAAAGCTTCTTGCCAGAAGAGACTTTGAGGCACTACTTCCATTCTTGAACAGTAAAAAAGTCACAATTTCTTCTCAAGGCTTCTTTCAACTTTATCTAAAAACTCTCAAGCCTTACTTTTTTATATCATACGAGAGTAATTTAGGAATTAATATTAAATGCAATTCAATTGTTCTTCACTAAAAAGGCTATTCTCTCATTTCTTGCCTGATATTTTTGTAGTCAGGATCAAGGTTGTGGTTTTTTCCTATCAGGTCAGCCCCACTTAGGTCTAAATCTAGTGTGCCCAGAGGGAGAATGTAACTCTACATCATCAATCCTGCAGGATGTTGTGATCAGTTTACAGCAGTGAACAGCACATTAGAAACTGCTGTTATGGATGTTTTCCGCATAGTTCAAAGCACTCCCCATATGAAAACTCAGCACAGAACAGCTAAAGAAAAAGGCTTCTACTAAACTGCTTCTCCAAGGACTTCTGATTTTTCTCCAGAGCAGGTGTGGGCACTACTGAGCTCTTGATTTGGGGACTAGCGCCACGCAGGAGTGTTTTGCTTCATATTGAAGCAAATGATTAAATGATTGCACCCAGTCATCCTAAATAATGCATATGGTGTGAAACAAAAAGAATGACTATCTAGCAAATGTCTGACACCTCCACTGCATAAGTGCCCCAACGGTGAACTAACATTTAGGTGGATGGGGAAGCTTTTTCACCTGATGGTGTAAACAGAATTCATGATCCTGGTGCTCGGTAACAGCTGAGGCCACAGCCACCACCAGACGGAGAACTGAGGCCACCAGTTTCCTTTTGAGCAATTTCAGTTCAAGCAGGGCCATCATGGTCTGGAGTGAACAACAGGCTCCTGAATCCTCAGCTGGAGAGCCACGCAGAGGAAAGCTGCAAATCTCTCTCCTGATAGTTTGCTAACCCTCTGCGGGGGTCAATTCCTTTGCTGTTATCTCAAGCCCTGCCATAACTGGTGCCTTTCCTTAAAGCCCAGCAGCTGGGTTGAAGGAACTGCATAAAAAAATCTTCTCTCTCCTCAGAAAATGTCACCAAAACAAAAAAGCAGGTTTCTATTCCGCTTGGTTATGGAAAAAGATTTGAAAATGTGAAGTGAGAGTAACTTAAAAGCTTTAGAAACAAGAAGACAAATACTAGGAAACAATATTTATTTGTAGTCTTCACTATATTGTGATATTTAAGCCTATCTCACATTTTTTCAACCTGCCTTTTGCTGCTTTATTGTTCCAGAACACAGGCACATGCAGCAAAAGACATCCAGCATTACAGATTCCTCTGCAGAAATAAAAAAGAGTTGGAAGTATGGGTGAAGGAGCTGTAGTCCTAGAAGTGCTAACTAAAACATTACCTGAAGACCATGAGTGTCTTTTCATTGACTTTTACAGACTTTGGATCCTGTACTTAAACCCAGCAGCTTTGGGGCCAGATCTGGCTTCTAGACTCCATCGGCCACAAACCCAACCCTTCATTCTTCATAATGCACCAGCTGAACTATTCCACCCCAAATCTCTGCTCCATGCAGTTCCACCTATTTTTAGTGTTTTTCCTTTATCACATAAATCTTTAACTACCCAGAAATAGAAGCTTCACTTCTCTATGATAAGGATATTTAAAAAAAAGCAATGACACTGACAAAAAAAAAAAAAAAGCAGCAGAGGCTGTCAGCCAGTTCCTGCCAGCACCTGTGCAGAGACACCCCCCCACCCCGGCAACCTCAGCTTCATCAGCACCCCGCAGCTGGCCGGGCTCCACTGCACCCGGGTGGCTGGCTGATCAGGTCCCTCCTGGATGTGGCTGCACAGCACCACCAGGAACATCGACCAGCACAGCCGAAGCCAGTGCTTGAGAGCGGTGTTGGGAACAGGCCAGGACAAGACCCTGCAGCTAAAAGCTGCCTTCTCTATCAATTAATTTTGAGTTCATTCTGAGAAGGAGATTCCTCTTTCTCCACTTTGGTTTAATGGAATTTTCATTAAATGATTATTGATTTTCAATCATTTATAGAACTAGTTTAATAATTTCCTACCATTATTATCAGAATAAGATTCATTGAAACTGCTGAAGGCTCAAACCAGAACACATACAGCAGAAGCCAGTAGAGCTACGCAGTTCTAGCGTACGCCCTCCGCCTCATTAGTTCTGACATTAAAACTAGACAGCAGCTGACAAAATATCAACAGATGTCTATCAAAGTCGGTTGCATTACCTCAGC